TAAACCCCTAAACCTCGAAACCCCTAAACCCCTAAAGCCCTAAACCCCGAAACCCCTAAACCCTCTACCCGTAAAGCCCTAAACCCCGAAACCCTAAAGTCAAGCCGCCCCTCCGGACAATCGGGGGCGGGGGGCGGGGGGGTTCGAAGGGTTTAGGGTTTAGGGTTGGGGAATATCCTGGGACCCGTGCTGGGACCCCCCTGGGACCTTCCTGGGATCCCCCTTGAACTTCTGGTACCATGCAAAACGAATTCAAAAACATGCATTGCAAATTTGCGAGAAGTTGGTATCGAAACGAAAAGGTACCGTCCGGGCAAAGTCGACGTAACGCCGAGGCTTTATCAGCAGTCAAGGCGACACGATTGGAACTTAGGCCCCCCTGGCGCCTCGGGCCCTCCTGGGACCTTGGCTGTTAGTCTTAATCTTGTTTGGGTGGGAAAAAACGGTTCGACGGCCCCCCACAGTCGGGCCATGGCTGCTCGTCATATGCACGAAGCCTGCATCCCAACCTTCACAGCTTCTGCACTATTTTACCCTACACCCTAGACCCTAAACCCTACACCCGACACCCTAAACCCTAAACCCTAAACCCTAGACCCTAAACCCTAAACCCTAAACCCTAAACCCTAAACCCTAAACCCTAAACCCTAAACCCTGAACCTAAGCTGCCTCAATCTTCCAGAGGCCACTCTCACCATCATCGGGACCTCGGGAAGGCAGCGTCTGGCTTGCAAGCTTGACCACCCCAAACCCCAAACGGATTCTGGGCTCCATGTAGGGTTTAGGGTTTAGGGTTTAGGGTTTAGGGTTTAGGGTTTAGGGTTTAGGGTTTAGGGTTTAGGGTTTAGGGTTTAGGGTTTAGGGTTTAGGGTTTAGGGCTGAGGGTTTAGGGCTGAGGGCTGAGGGCTGAGGGCTGAGGGCTTTGGTGGTCAGGATTTAAGGGCTTCGAGGGATTTAGGATGTAAGGGTTTTGAGGCATTTAGGGTCATAATGTTGTTGGATCGCTCAAACATCCCAACTCCTGCTTCAGTGGGCAGCAAGCATGAAGGGCTTACGTGGAGGTTCATGGGCACACATAAGTAGGGTTATCAGCACAGGAACTATGGTTACAGCCGTATTTAGGGTACTTCCAGACCCACTTACTTATATGTACTCATGAACCTTCAACTTCAAAAGTAGTCTTGCTCCGGGGTGCCTTTAAAATCCCTCACAGGAGTGTCCCCACGGCCACTGCCTAGTTCAAAAACACGGCAAACCCTAAGCCTTAAAAAAACGTTGAGGACCTAAAACTCGATGTAAAGCGCGCGAAGGTTAACTTCCTTCTTCCTGAAAGCGCAATGCTACAACATAACCCCCTCCCCATCACACACCAGAATATGCTACAATGCAGATACTTGGTAGCGCAGGAACCATATTGTAATAAGGGCACCCTTTTTTTGGCTAGCTCATTTTATAAGGGAACCCAGAACCAAAAAGAGGGTAAAGGGTACCACTGGGCTACCAAGGATATGTAATACGTACATAAGATGCAGTAGACTCAGGGAAGTTGATGCAAACTGACTTTACCTTGGACTCCTAAGGTGGCATCCTTGGGTTTGGGGACCCTGTTTGCAAATTCCTAAGGATCATATAAAGGCCATATAAATATGGCCCTTATATGATCCTTAGGAAGTAATTAGGTTCTTATTAAGGGAAACCTTTCTGGAGGGGTACAACCTTAGGGGGGTACGAGCCTTAACCCCCTTGTCAAGGGTATTGTTCTCGCACCCCTAAGGATGTACCCATGCGAGGTGCCCTTATAGACTCTGAACGTGGCCCTGACATTTGCCTAAACAGGGCTCCCCAAACCCAAAGGGGACAACCTTAGGGACCTTGATTGACTGGGACAGGGTTCCGACCTGCGGCTCGCCACCTGTTAAATGACAAAGTTTAGGGTTTAGGGTTTAGGGTTTAGGGTTTAGGGTTTAGGGTTTAGACAAAGATCTGGGAGGCTGGCCGCACATCGAGGAGTGCTGGGTGATCGCTAGCCCGGTCGAAGGTGGAGGAGCCTTGTTGTACCGTAAATCCGACGCCCTAAACCGCGATAGCCCTTGAGTGAGGGAAAGACAGACCTTCAACGTTTAGGGTTTAGGGTCCCTGGTTGAGGCTCTTAGGTATTTTCCCGCACTGCGGCGGTCAACACTAAACTCCTCCACTCCCAACCCTGCCATACCTCTACTCAGCCGTACCCAAACCCCCCAAAAAGGCCATCAGCATTAACAACAAGAAAACGAAAACAAGAACCAAAAGCATTACAGATGATCTTTACGCCGTACGTTGGGGCAAGCGGTTATCGGGCTTGCCCTGCACAACGGGATATGTTAAATCCTGCTTCAGGCTCTTCTACTCGTGTTGTTTCCAGCGCAAGCAACTTTTTGAACGGCTAAGTAGGAGCCTGCTTGAAGGTTCATGGGTACTGATAAGTAGGGTTATACGTCCTCTGAATAAGATTTTAATCATAGTTATCCTACTCATATCCCGACTCATAAGTGCCGGAAGCGCCAAGTACAGGGGAGAGGGGGTTTGGTAAGGTTTAAGGTTTAGGGTTTAGGGTTTAGGGTTTAGGGTTTAGGGTTTAGGGTTTAGGGTTTAGGGTTTAGGGTTTAGGGTTTAGGGTTTAGGGTTTAGGGTTTAGGGTTTAGGGTTTAGGGTTTAGGGTGGGGGTTGGGGGCTGCTGGGTCGATATCGCAGTTGCGCCACTGGCGGATAAGGCAGCTGATATCTGGAGCTTTCAAGGCAGGATCCAATTGACGCTCATGCACTATATAGCGGTTTCCGAAATTGGGGTACCTTAGGGGGGGGGGGTCCTTATAAAAAGGGAAACCTACGATTTGGGGTTTATAGTAGGGGTTCCTTACTTTCGTAAACAAGCCTAAAACCAATCGGATATCTGTTTGCTTGCAGCACGTCCCGTGTACCCTTCCAACCAAAGCTGGGGATAGAAATATGGACCCGTGGCCCTCCTGATCGCCGCTCTACGATCCGCAGGGATAGCGACTTGCCCAGCCCGATCAACAGAATGCGGTTTAGGTTTTTGGGTTTAGGGTTTAGGCCATTCGCTACCCCAGATACTCTAAGATAAGTGTTTCGGGTCGGGTTTCGGCTGTATGGCTTTGGGGAAGCTAGGTAGTCCCAGATTGTTCGTGAAAGGGCTTAGAAAACTAGGCACCTGTATTTCCCCTACTCTCAGAATTCGTGTGGGGAAGCCGCGGCTAGGGTTTAGGGTTTGGGGTTTGGGATTTAGGTGTTTAGGGGTTTAGGCCTATGGCGCCCGAAAGAAGCTCATGTATGCCTCCGGCATAGTAAAGCATCCGTTTTGGTGGCAAAAGGCTACTTGGAGGTTCATGGTGCTTAGTAACCGAAGTGGGATATAACTACACTTCTAGTTGGGATATAAGCACCCTGAACCTCAAATTAGGGTTTAGGGCTTCCAGTCGCGGCAATGCGATGGCTGGGCTTCGATGGAAGGCCTGTTCGGGCTTAGGGCTTAGGATCCATAGGGTTTCGGGCTTAGGGTTTAGGGTTTCAGGCAAGGTTTAGGGGTTTAGGGTCTAGGGTTCGGGATACCCTATAAGCCCTCGGTGAGTCGCCCCGAACTCTTCCCTTTCGCGGGCCTGCGGGTAGATGCACTGGGTGAAGTCCTGCACTCATCTCCCCAGGGTGTGGAGAAATTTACCGAGAGGTCTATGGGTCTGGCAAGTAGGGTTTAGGGTTTAGGGCTTAGGGTTTAGTGTTCAGGGTTTCGGGTACTTGCAAGTAGGGTAGTAAGTAAGGTAACTATGCACCGAGTCCCTGAACGGCAAAGCCCAAACCTTAAGCCTTAAGCCCTAAGTCCAATGTTGTACCAGGCCGTTGGCTCAGTTGACTAGTTGTACATGGAGTGTACCGAAGATGCAGGGGCACATACGTGTATGTATATCATATACTTCAACAGTTAGATAGAGACAGAGAGAAGAGAGAGAGGGAGGGAGAGAGAGAGAGAGGGAGAGGGAGAGAGCGAGGGAGAGAGCGACAGACGAGACGTACTATCTATCTAAATTCTAAATATTGACACATACTTGTGTAAACCGCTCTCTCTTTTCAGAGGGGCGCAGGCTTCACTTGATGAAGGCTGTGCTGCGCCAAAGCTGAAGCCTCAAGCCCGAAACTCGAAACTCCGAATTGCTCACGACACCTGCCAGGAACAGCATCGACTTGTTGCCGGCTCGATGCAAGTCCAAGAGAGGTCAAAGAGCCAAGAGCTCTTGCACAGCGCTTTAGGGTTCAGGCTTGAGGGCTTAGGGTTTCGGGTTTAGGGTGCAGGGTTTGGGGTTAACTCTGAACCGCAAGAACAGTAACAATCTGGTCCTTGTTTCGGACAACCATGAAGTGAAGTGGAAGCGAAGTCACTTGCACCTGGCAGCGCATGGAGTCTTGGGGGCTTGTTCCGACACCCGAAACCCTGAACTCCAGACCCCAAAACTCTATAAAACACCAGTGAACCCTATAAACCCTAGCACCCTAGAAACCGCACAAACCCTGAACACCCGATCAACCCTCAAAAGCCCTAAGCCCTGAGCCCTGCGAGCCCACAAGCACCTTGCGGGAAGGGTTGCTTGGAGGTGCGGAGTACTTAGTAACTCAAGTATACCGGTACTTATACCCCAGTTATAATCCCATTAGGGTACTTAAGGGGCTTCTAAGTGGGTTAAAACTACACTTCTTGTTGGGTTATCTTAGGCTTTTTGGTTTTGCAATGGTGCACGCGTGAGACTCAATTGAGTCAGCTTCTGAGCATGTTTGTTTTTTGACGAGGGGAAAAGGGGGGCGCTTGTTATTTGTTTTGTTTCTGCTGATAGTGTCTTGGTTGGTGAACAAGCTGAGCCAGAGCAAAGTTGCATGGCCATCTGACTCTCCTGTGTCTCAAGTTCACTGTTTTTAGTTCCTCCTCCGTTGCTGGTGTGTATCGCAGGCCTCTGTCA